CATTGGGTGCAAGTGGCACGAGGCTGGACTTCACCTTAGCAGGGATGACGGGCTCAACCAGAGTGGAAAGTCAACAAGTAGATCTTGTGGTGATGTCAATGGATGAATCAGTGACAGTGGAGCTTTCAAGCGTCAGGACAGTCAACCATATGCCTATAACTGAGAGCTGTATAGCCAAGAAGGAGGACCTTGAAAATTGGCCTCATTTGCGTGATATTGAGTTACGACAGTTGGACATCACAAGTGTCATGTTAATTGTTGGTCTTAAAGACAACCCAAGCTTGTTCTTGCCGTTAGAATGCCGAGCTGGTGGCAAAGGAGAACCAGTAGCAATTAGGTACAGCCTGGGATGGACGGTGATAGGTCCTGTTGGTGGAGAAAGCTGTACTGCCGAACGCTCAGTCAACTACCTACGTATGGAAGATAGCTCTGTTGTGTGCCCAGGTGGTTTAGATTTTGAAGATTATGTTCTTTGCAAAGACCACAAGAAGAGTGTTGTGTTGTCTACAGGGCTAAACAGTGAAGATGCCTATGAAGAGAATGTTGCAGACATGAACTGTGTCCTCGAACTAGAATGTAATGCCAATGAACCCAAGCATCGTTTACAGATAGATGAAATTGATCGTCAAGCTCGGGACGATGAGCTTAGTCAACAGTTGGAGCGACTGTGGAGAACAGATTTTGAAAACTGTGAAGTCGAGACGCGAGTTTGTGCATCGTTGGAAGACAAAAGGGCCCTAGAAATAATGGAGAGAACTCTTAAGATGGTAGATGGACACTTTCAGGTTGCCCTGCCTTGGCGACATGAGCCACCATTTTTACCTAACAACAGGGTAGTTGCAGAGCGAAGAGGTGTGCTTCTAAAGAAACGACTCCTGAAAGACGAAGCCTTGTTGGAGAAATACAAGACAACAATGGCTGATTACATTGAAAGTGGCCACGCTGAAAAGGTCCCCGATGAAGAGTTAGAGGTAAAGGACAGACCGGTGTGGTACCTACGTCATCATCCCGTAACTCACCCCTTAAAACCCGGCAAAGTGAGAGTAGTTTATGATTGTGCTGCCAAGTACGGAGGGACATCATTGAATCAACAACTTTTACAAGGACCTGATCAAACAAATCAATTAGTGGGTGTCCTTAGTCGCTTTAGACAAGAGCCCATTGGAGTGGTAGCTGACATTGAAGCGATGTTCCATCAGGTGTTGGTGGAACCTAAGGACTGTGACGCACTTAGATTTTTGTGGTGACCCAATGGAGACTTGTCTCGAGAATTGGAAGAATATAGAATGGTGAAGCACCTATTTGGAGCCACATCTTCCCCGAGTATTACTAATTTCTGTTTGAAAAAAACCGCCGATTTACGTGGAGAAGGGTTCGAGGAACAGGCAGTGGAAACGGTCAAGCGTAACATGTATGTGGACGACATGATGAAGTCAACAAACAATACCGAGAAGGCAGTTGTGCTGGTGAGTCAACTCCAGGAGCTACTAAGAAGAGGTGGTTTCCATTTGACAAAGTGGTATAGCAATGACAGAGATGTGCTAGCAGCGATTCCAGAATCTGAAAGGGCAAAGTCATTTGCAAACTTGGACTTGGAGAAATTGCCGACCGAATCTGCTCTAGGTCTCAAATGGAACACAGAGGAAGACAAATTTGTGTGGGAGGTCTTGGAGAAGATCCTTCAAGTTGCTAATCAGCGGCCAATGACACGCAGAGGAATAGTGTCAGCCGTTTATTCTCTCTTTGATCCCCTGGGTTTTATTGCACCATACATCATGAAAGCCAAACTGTTGTTGCAAGCCCTTAGTAGAAAGAACGTTGGTTGGGATGATCTCATTGGGGAGGCTGAGAAAATCCAGTGGAGGCGATGGCTGGATGATCTTCCCAAGTTACAGGAAGTGCAAGTAGATCGTTGTTTCAGACCCAGAGAGTTTGGCGAAGTAAGAGAAGTACAGTTACATCTTTTCTCAGACGCATCTCGTCAAGGATACGCATCGGTTGCATACCTCCGTGTGAAGGACGAGAACAGTCGAATTCATTGTGCATTCGTAATGGGAAAGGCAAGGTTAGCCCCAGTGCGCGAGATTTCAATTCCAAGGTTGGAATTGACAGCTGCAGTCATCTCCGTGAAACTCTCTAAGATTATCCGTGAAGAATTGGATGTGAAGTTCCAGAAAGTGTTCTACTGGACCGATTCAATGTCAGTGTTGAAGTGTATCAACAACGAATCAAAAAGATTCCACACCAATCGTTTGACGGTGATACATAATGGATCTTCCCACTCCGAGTGGCATTATGTAAACAGAGATAATAATCCTGCAGATGATGGCTCAAAGGGACTTAAATTGAATGACATGTTAAAAAATGATCGCTGGTTGAGAGGTCCGGAGTTTCTTTGGGGAAATGAGAGCCTCTGGCCAAGGATGGTTGAAATTCCAGCATTGAAAGATGACGACCCTGAAGTCAGGAAGGAGACTCAGATTTACACCGTTGTTGTTCAAAGTAAATACCTGGAGCCCTTAATAGCACGCTACTCGTCTTGGTGGAAGTTGAAAAGGGCTGTAGCCTGGTTGTTGCGGTACAAAGCGTACCTTTCACTGAAAGTTCAGCTGAGTAAGAGGAACGCTTTAGTTTCAAGTGAATCCCAAATCCAGAGCGGCGAAGTGCCTTTCGTGAAATATGGCCACTTGAAGGTGGCAGAGCTTCAGGACGCCGAGAAGGAAATCCTCAAGGAAGTACAGCAAGTGTCTTTCCCTCAAGTCATTGAGGTTCTCTCATCAGCAGGAAGTTCCGATGTAGACGGTTGTGTTAAAAAGGTCCTTCGAAAGGCAGGAACGGCGTTGCATCAGCTCAACCCACGCTTAGAGGGTGGTTTGCTGAGGGTTCGTGGCCGACTAGCACTTGCCCCGGTTCCTTATGAGAAGAAACACCCTATTATCCTTCCCTACAAGCATGATGTGACGGATCTGATTATCAAGCAGTATCATGAGAGTTTGGGTCACATGGGTCAAGAATGTGTTTTGTCTTCTTTAAGAGAAACATTCTGGGTGGTCAAAGGAAGATCAGCAGTGCGACGAGTGTTAAGGAGATGTATAGACTGTCAGCGAAGAAACACACGCCCGGGAGAGCAGTTTATGGCAAATTTACCTGAAGAGAGGCTAACCCCTGACAAGCCACCATTCACATTTGTTGGTGTCGATTATTTCGGGCCGATTGAAGTAAAGCAGGGCAGATCCCATGTGAAAAGGTATGGATGCCTATTTACGTGTTTGACAATGCGAGCGGTCCATATAGAAGTGGCCCATTCCTTGGACACTGAATCAATGATAAATGCACTCAGAAGATTCATCAGTATTCGTGGTTGTCCTGAGCAGATAAGAAGTGATCGAGATACAAACTTTACTGGCGCAGAAAGGGAGTTAAAGGAAGCCATAGAGGGATGGAATCAGCAGAAGATCAACAGTTTTTGTGGACAGAAGATGATAGAATGGATTTTCAATCCACCAGCGGCGAGCCACATGGGCGGCATCTGGGAGCGGATGATACGTTCTGTGCGTCAGATCTTGCGAGCGATGTTGAAGGAGCAGGTAGTCTCCGATGAGGTCCTCTCAACCGTTTTGGCAGAGGTGACGAATATTCTCAATTCCAGACCCCTCTCAAGAAATAGCGACAGTCCTTTAGACGAGCAACCATTAACCCTAGTCATTTGTTGCATCTGCGCCCGTGCCCAAGTGTACCTCCGGGGGTCTTCGACAAGGACGACCTCACCTGCAGACGTGCTTGGAGGCAAGCGCAGTATCTTGCCAATTTGTTCTGGCGTAGGTGGACGAGGGAGTACCTGCCCACTCTGTTAGACAGGAAGAAGTGGACTGAGCCAAAAAGGAATTTACAAATTGGTGACTTGGTGCTTGTAGCAGACGAAACCTTTTCCAGAGGGAAGTGGCCGCTTGGAAGAGTTGTGGAAGTTATTGCGAGCCGCGATGGGTGGGTGCGCGCAGCGAAGGTGAAGACAAGTGCAACAGTAGCAACATGTGCCAAACGACGGTACAGAAGAGAACCTGTGACCGCAGCCAGTACCACCATACTTACACGCCCAGTTACAAAGTTATGTTTTCTGGAGATGGATGGAGTGGCCGATAGAGTAGGACCAGTTTAAGTGACTTTGCAGCAGTGCAAGGAGATGATTTAATGAACGTTGATATGAACATTGGCTTTGATAGTCATGAACAGTGATTCTAATCATTCCTTTATAACGTTGTGTTTAGTTGTAGTCGGTAGCTTATGTTTGTAAATGAGATTGCTGTCGGTGCATTCTCATTTACGGACCGGTGTAATTACCGACCGTCGTCAGTTTATTTTATTCTATTTGTTTTATTTTTCCCCTTTTTTTTTTTTTGTTTTTATTTGCATATCTGCGTTTTGGTTCGCACTTCCGGTCACATGATAGTCATGTGACCGGAGAGCACATGGTAGAGCTAGGCGCCATTTTTTGTTGTTGTTTTTCTGCAAGAGCAAACAGTTCTTCAACGTACAAGTACAAGGACACGTACACTGTATATTTAAAGTGACATTTTTGGAGCAAGTACAGGAAACAGTATTCAGGGAATAAAGTGCTTTAACCAGGGTTCAGTTTGTGGAACTCACAAAATAAAACTTTGAATTCATAAGTAACTTTGCTGCAACTCAGGGCTTTTTTCAGAGAAAGCGAAACAAGGGTGCACAAACCATAGACTGCTATTCTTGGTCTACAGCAACGAGACAAGGCGGTCTTTTTGGTGTCAATACAATAAACAATTAATTTAAAGAGTTCACTTGAAATGGAGTTTAGATCCCAGAGTAGAACAGTTTTGTTCTTGATCAACAATCTGGCCTCCGTGACGTCATGTGCAAACCAGCAAAAAATGTAGCTGCTATTTTTGTAATTTACAAATATTTGCATTGTTGAAAAAGCTACGATTTCATGGCGAATATTTGTCTATTTCTAGCTTGTTCTGGAGGGAGTGTGGACGCTACATAAAGGGTTTCATTACGCACTTTTCACCGAAAAGGTCACCTGGAACACTGCAGACGCATTCTGTAAAATTGCTTTCGGTGGACAGCTGGTGAAAATTGAATCCGTCGAGGAGAACAGCTTCATTAAATCTCAATACCTTTCGGGCAAAGTAGATTATTGGATTGGACTGTCCAACTCTGTTGAAGAAGGTGACTGGAATTGGGTTGATGGAACTAACTCAACTGGATACACGAACTGGGGAAATGGCCAGCCGAATGATTCTAATGGGCAGGATTGTGCGGGAATACGTATGGGAACATACTCTAATACGAATTATGACGCACAGTGGCACGATAACTCTTGCTTAAAAACCAAAGGATTTATTTGCCGAAAGTAATGTTATTTTCATCGCATCCAGGACGCAGATAAATTCATTGGCGTGTTCAGTAAAAAAAATTGTACTTGAAGTTGTCTTGTTTTTAGTTTCACATAAAATGTAATAATACAGGACACAATATAAAACTAGTCATAGCTATTGCTAAGTGCCAACGAGCAAAGAATTTACCTATGCGCGCGCGCTTTTTAATTTGTTTAGAAATGTCATGAATTACCGTAATTTACGAGAATGTAGGCTTCAGGTTAGTTATGTGTCTGTCATTTACTGTCATGGAACGCAAATCATGCATTGCACTTTGAATCGTCTGTTGGGTGCCTCAACTAAGGACAACGGAGTTGAGTTGTTCAAGCTAACTTGGGGTTAAAATGTAACGTAGGGGTTTCTAGTAATAAACTCTCCTAGTCGACATAAAAGTTACCTTACATTTCGTTATGTTACATCGCTTCGATATTCATTCTGCCTTAGAACTTTAGCGCATGGCTTTATTATACTGCCGCCTATGCAGCTGCCAGTTGGCAATTAACGAGCAGCGAGAAGTCTAGAAAGGCATTAGAAGCTTCACGTTCATTTATCGCTTTATATCAAACTACTGAACTTAATTTGATAGCCACCATCTAGAACTTTGCACCCGTTTAATGACTGATGGCATAAAAGCAATGTCACCTGGTTTGTCAGATGCAAAATAGTGAAAATAATTGCCTATGCAAGAAATTGTGGTCGAGTTTGTTTTTTCCTAGACAACAAAAAATATAAAGAACATCTTAGAGCGGGGGCGCCCGCGCGCGTGAGGCGGAGTTCCAAACCTAAAAGAGCCTGGGAAACCTGTCGAGGCCAGAAAACTTACTTATGACGTCAACTTGCTTCCGTACGTCCGTATATAAGTTCGTGCACAATCTGAGATGCAGACGTATGGTAAGAATTCTTTTCCAAGACAATTACTGCGATCAAATTTGATTTATAATTTTCTCATTTTGTTTTCAAATCAGTTAAAGTATAAAAGTATAAAAACGGACGCTTTGCTTTTAGCCCATATATCATTAAAGACATTGATGGCAAATTAATGGTTGAAATGATCATTGTTACTTTTTTGAATACAGTAGCGACCGCAGATTTCCTCACACTTACAATAATGTAGTAAATCTTGTCGAAAGTCTAACTGAAAATTTTGTATGACTATTTATTATTACTTGCATCTCGTTCTGACATAATAAGTAAACTTGACTGCGATTACTCGTATAAACAAATTTTATTATTTATTTGCCCCCCTGAAATACCTCGTGACTCTTATCCCATCGATCTTAAAGCGAGTGCAAAGATGGTAGGTATAGAACGAGGTCTATCATCTGAGCATTATTCACAACTATTCATAATAATAAAGTGACTCTCAAGTCTTGATTTAAATTGGAATTTTTTAATTTTCTAGAGAGTTCTAAAACACTGCACCCCCCGCCTTGTACCTCCGAGGGTTAAGTTGGTCTATTGTATTTCGGCAGCGCGACTATTATTCTAGCGCTGGACGTGCGCCAGTCTTTTTTTCTTCAAGTAAATTTTTTCAGTGTTCTACTCAATAACTGGTTTAATATGCGTTCATACAGTAAGAAACTTGAGAAATACTGAAATAGTGAGTATAAGTTGCCTTTGCAACTTGTAATTATAGGAGTTTAATCTCAGTTTACTTTAGCCTTTTAACGTGACTGTTTCATCAGGGTTTGCACTAGGAAAGCCTTGAAATTGAAAACGCAATTACATAAAACAATTAAACTACGCAAGCACGCTGCCTGGTTTTCATCTCCTAGAGCTAATTACACTCGACAAGTGCAAATAAAAACTCCTACACGAAAACTGATTACAAGACAATCATAAAAAGGGTTGCAATGCCACCTTTTATATTGCACTAAACAAGAGGCGCATCACAAATATTTTTCAACCCTTAATCTTCAAAAGAATTGTATAGAATTAATCAGACACGTTAAAAAGACCTTTTTCAAGTCATTTGTTTGTTTAAACAAGTCATTTGTTTATTTAAATCTCTATTTGTTTATTTAAATCTCCAAGTGTTAAGAGCAGGCGTCAAAATTTATTAAAGGTTCTTGTAATTGTTCTCATTAGTTTTATTATTTAAGAGGGAGCTATATTGTCATGGTGTCATGATGTATCAGGAATTCTTTATCAGAACACCCTGCGGTCAGTTTCTATGCAAGGCATTGAATGTGGGAAACTTCGATTGACTCTCAACTCAGCCTCCCTGTATTCAGTTATTGCGGACTGTTGACATGTACGCTCTTTGCACTTTTAATGTGCTGGCTATGTCGTGTGCATTCCGTTTCATTTGGATTATTATTCTTGCCCACTTCTCGACTGGAGGTAGGCCTTATATATGTGCAAATAATTTTAGGGTATAATATCACTTTGTGTCTTTAAATTTTACATTTTTTTAGTTAAACTTAACACACAAATTTAGTGTGAACTAAGTAGACTTAGTCTCATAAAGGAAAGAAACAAGGAAGAATCTGAAGTAAACACATTGTCCAGCGTTCGTCTCATGTAGTCACTAGTTGGTTTTAACTTCAATAGCACTCACTGAAGTTCTTGATTACACGTCTGGACCGAGCTTCTTCGATTTGTTGGGGTGTCTCGCTCAGACGGCTTTTATCCTAGTTTTACACACAATCTTTTTACTATAGAATCCTAGCTAAGAGGGCAAACTTGGTTGTTGGTCATGGATATCATATCGAACAGGTGAATGGGAGAGAAAAAGATTCGATTCATGCTCGGTTTAATTTTGTTATACCTCCCATGAGACTTGCATGCGTACTAGGTAACGTTTACGGAATTTACACCGCATTTCTGTTATCCCATTGGAAGACGAAACGATAGTCCGAATATCCTTGGTGACACAAAACAAAACAAAAATCATTTGTCATTTTTCGCCAAGATTGGAACGCCCAAAAGTAATAAATAGCTGAATAAAAAAATAAGAATAAATAAGAATAATAAAAAAATGATTTGCCCAACAACCGGTTGATATTTAAAGGAAGTCTAGATTACCCTGATTTATATAGCATAGGTGACAAATCTTTATCGTGTGATTCCAATTACTTTAACTTTATACATAATGCAAGAGATAATTTTGACGTCAGAATGCAAAGAAACAATCAACATAATAGCCAATGTCACTCTATGGCTAACTCCGCCAGGGAACATAGCTGGATTTTTAGCCCCTTTTCGGGAAATGAGGCAACGTTACCTTACAAGCCTCCACTTCGGTGGGGCAGGCAATGGCCAGAAAAGGAGATAACTTAAAACGTCTTTACAAAATTGCCGGATTTGTGAGCTGCTGTTCTCAAAGATAGATGATTTTATTGCTTAAAAGTATAATTAACTCTTGATATAAAATGCAAGTTAAGCTCATTTTGTTCTGTTTTGTTTTTTTACTTCTCCAGATGACTGTAGGAAAATTGAATTCGCAGATCGCTTGGAAAATAGAGCTCTTATGAATCACGTTATCATAAGTTTTCGGGAGATCGAGGAGGAAATGTGCGAGATTAAGTGTTACCTGGAGCCGAACTGTCGTTCCTATAATTTCGGTCTTCTAACTAACGGTACATTTCTTTGTGAACTGAGTGACACGCAGCACATGCAAGCACTTCCCGGTGAACTAGAGGCAAGGAATGGGTTTAACTACCGTTCAATAGAGCAGGTTAGATTTTCCATTAAAATCTGATTATCCTAGGGCTCAAATAGGTAGGAGGGATATCAAAGTTCCAGCCTTCATTCTTTTTTAACCGTCCTCTTGTTTAGCATTTCTTTTACTTAATGACGGTCTTCATAGTCCAAAAAATAAAAGCCTCAACTTTCGAAGGATACTCGACCAACGCAAAATTAAGTGAAGACCAAATGTCTTCTCACCTTCCCGCCACCCTCTCCTCAATCATTTGGTTGTGTCATTTTAAAGTCCCGTCCACACGTATCCGGATATTTTTGAATCCGCAACTTTTTCTTTCCGGATTAAAACATTTCCACCTCCACACGTATCCGGAATATGATAAAATATAGACTGGACTGGATTGATAAAACATGGATTTATAAATAGAAAGAGGCTTTTCTCCTAGGTTTTATAGGATCTGAATATGACAAACATGACTTGCACCGAAGTCAACCTCAGCCATTGCGAGAAAACGTGAGGAGACCGGGATTTTTTAAATTAACGTTGCAACGATCGAAACACCCAGTTTAGAATGCTTCATGCACTGTGTAGTGCTAGTAACCTTCGAGCGGGAGAGAAAAGAAAAAAAAACCTCTGTTTGTTCGCAAACTCTAAGTTCACGTTTCGTTTGGCCCGTCAACGCTTATTTCTGATACTTCACCGGTATTATGGACGAATAAATAGTCAAAAGACAACATTTTTCCCTGATCTTTAACAGTTTCAACAGTGGAACTGTCTATTTTATACGAAATACTTACTTTTATTGTTGACAAAATGAAACGACCCTTTTGAAAAAAAGTGAGATGAGATATAACTCGCCTCTTTTAATTTCATTTCCGACTGGAAATGTTGCGTGACGGAAAGCAGGAGCTACTGCACTGGAACATTCGTACCCAAGACATGTTTGTCGTATTCAGTTCCCATAAAACCTAAGAAAAAAGCCCCTTTCTTATTTGGTCATGAATTCATGTTTTACTAATCCATGTTTTATCAATCCAGTCCAGTCCATATTTTATCATATGCCCACGTATCCGGATTCAAATCTAGGAATATTGGCAACAGAGCATGCGTCGTAAATCGCGCGAAATTTGCATCTCGCTCTGCTTTGTACTATCATTCTCGATTTTATCGCTAGAATTATGCCAGAATCAGAGGACTTTCCTACCCGCCCATCCACGGATAAGAAAAAACAAACAAACAAACAAACAAATAAAAAACAAAAACGGCGAAATTAACATTAGGAAATATAACCGCATTTTTGGAAAGAAATGAAACTTTTATTTTTAGAAATGCA